TATCAAGTTGTTTTCTTCTTCTTTATTTTAATGATCTGACCAAAATGACGTCGTCTTGAACTACGCCTTTAAAAAAAATCTAACACTACACATCCGAGCCTTCAAGGTTTTATTGACCCTCCATTCTTATTCCATGTTAGCATACACACTGTTAGTCAAGTTCCAACTTAAAAATAGTGTTTGTTAGTTACTAAACTAACTTATTTGTACTGATTCGTTGATTAAAGTGTTCTTTCTCTCAATGGGATTGATCCAAAACATGATAATGAGAATCATTTTCTTAGCTTTGTTTTCTCTCTCTGCTAGAGTTTAGATTCTATGGTTTTCTAAAGCTCTTCATAGAAATTTTCAACGTAAGCTTTCATGGTATAACCCCACTGCGCACCACCACCACCTGTCCCCGGCGCACCACGTCGTCCGAAATTTTAAAGGCTTTTACACTAAGATCCCAAGATATTGGAATTCGGGATCCCCACTGTATATACATATTGTTTTGTAACCTGAAAAATGAAATGGAAATAATTAGCTAAGTAGGTAGGATATATAACTGCGTGCTTCCTGAACGCATGCATTGATGGGACATGATCACGAGGCCTTATGAAGATGATGATGGTGAAACATATAACTTTCGAATATATTAGAGTGAACGTAAAAATAAAATTTGATAAAATTTTGATTTCAAACATACATAGAAGGAAATTCCATGTATTAAGACAATGTAACTAATGCACTATTTAATATCTGCATGTCTCTTGATTTCATTAAAGGCTGATTTTAGTGTCCAAAATCTATAGCCACCATGCAGCCACTAATACATGGTCAGAGTTCACTCTCGAAGGCAAAGTTTCTATAGTTGTATTCCGCACTGCGTACTAATCTGTGGCACAATGAACCGTATATATCGGTGTCCAAGTTGTCAAGTATGTTCTAAAAAACTAGGAGCCAATTTTCCCAAATGATAATCCCATTGATAATTAAAAATAAAATTTGCTTTTTCTTGTTTTTCAGAATAATTTATACATTAAGCGAGAAGTGTTTGAATGCAGTCACAAAGAAGTGAAACAGTTAATCACAAAGAAAGCTGAGAAGTGCTTTTTCTCGCTTAATGTATACTTAATAATTTATACATTAAGTGAGAAGCGCTTTTTCTTGTTTTTGCTTGTTCTATGTTGTAGCACACTCACAAAGAAGTGAAACAGTTAATCAGTCTATGTGGTAGCACTTTTTTTTTTTTTTTTTTTTGGGTAACATGAGGGAATGGATCACTTCAAAAACTAGTTTAAAGAGTTATTACAGATAATTCGAGTATGACTCTCATCATATCATCAAATAACCGAATTCTAATTCAATCAGAAGAATTCTCAAGATAATGGTAGCACTTTAACTTCACGAATGAGTAGTCGCATAGAACAACCGCATTCAAAACACTTCTCGTTTCAAGGGGACTATGTTTGTAGGATTGTTCATTGTTTGCCCCCAAAAGTTTGGTTATTATGAGAATGAATTCTGGCCCATTTCGTAGGAGACTGTTGTAGTAGAGTCGCGGAAGTGCCTGAATTGTTGGACTGGTTGCAGGCCCATATTCGAATCAATTGCTGGACCAGTTTCGTTAGATGAAAGCATTACGGCATATATTAAATATATAAATGAATTGTTATTGGCATTACAAAAATGACATTTTATACTCTAAATTTTATATAATGAATAAAAAAAATTACACTTATCAGAAATATAGAATGAAAATTTTGAAGTGTTAATAACAATTCCCATATATAAACTTTTTAATTTATTCAATTAGGATTTTGGAATATCCTGAAAATCTTCCCTATAGATGCTGAGGCATTGACGTGAGATTTCTGCTAAGATATCATAAAATATTTCTCAAGTTGACCAAAATTGGAGTAGTTGGGCTAAATTCCAATGACCAGAATGATATCAAACAAATGCTAATTAGTAAATAAATTAGTGATTTGAACATTAGCTTTATTCCATTTTTGGGTACTTTATATATTGTTTTTACTTTTTACCAGTCACCGTTATTATTATAAAAAATAAAATAAAAAAAAAGTCACTTTCACTACGATTTAGTAATATTATTCTTCATTTGTAAGTGTGTGATTTGAAGTTCGACATATTACATATACCAAATAATTTTTGATGACTTATTGTGTGGTTTATTTCCAATTTTTACCTAATAATGTAAATGTATCGCTGTAAAGAAAACCCAAAAAGAGAAAAGTTTGACTTGGGCTGTCATGGTTGGTAACAAACAATTTTGAGAAGTGGACAAAACAAAAGTTTTAAGGTTGTAGGAAGATGCCTTATATTAGCGAGATTGTCTCACTTTCTCAAATCTCTTCATAATCTCTTTGATTGAGTTTAGTATAGTAAGTTCTGAAATATTCCTGTAAGTCTTCTCGATCTCCGAAAGGAATAGATAACCGTGACTTGCCACTAGTTGTCTCTCTTTTAAAAAAAAATAAAAATTTAGTATAATAAGTTGTAATGGGAAAATAAACAATTGAGGATAGAAAAAAAAATAATAATGCAAACACAAAAACATAAATAAATAAAAGAAAAATTGGAACGAGCACCGGCTTTGAATTGCGTGGGTAAGCTCGTGACATACATGGGATGGGATCTCTAGGGAACCCAAAGGAGAATATGCCCAAGGCCCTCCTACTTCTTTCCATTATCCCGGTTTTCCTCTACTTGCTTGTAACTTTGACCTCATATCTTTTACAAATAGTTCAGATTATGACGTTTTATGAAGTGAAATTATATCACGTCATCATATAATGAAGCATGATTTTTTACATACAGGGAGTATAACAATGTCTTTTCCACAATCCTACAATGTTATATAGATTGTTTAACGCGTTTTTTTTCATAAAATCAAAACTATATACAAAACGAACTTTGACCAAATATCTTGTGTTAAATTAGATTTGTTAAGAAAGATGGGTCGACCAAAATCAATACGATAATCAAACAAACTTCTCATAAACAGGATCGTATCCTCTTTACTGAGTTAACAAACATCGTACCAAATTTTTCAAAGACCAAACTAAATTACGAGATAGAAAAATTCAAACTTGATTGGATAGAAAAGTCTAGAAATCATTTATACGTTACACTGATTTAAATTGAGTGAACTTATTCTATTAATGTTATTCATATCTTATTAGTCAGTATCTAATTTCTTGACAGGTCTATGTGTAACTATTTGCTTTTAACTGTATAATTCTTTCTTTTTCTTTTTTTATCGAAAACTATATGAGTTCAATACGCAACAACGGTTAAAAAATGTACATATAGTAGAATATACCATGGAGAATAAAAGGACAACAAAAATAAAAAAGAAAAGAAAAAGCGAAGCCTCTACCACAATTTTCAACTTCCATGACTTCGAAGCTATAAACTCAAGAGTCGGGACTCAGAAGTGAAGAATATCCCGGAGATAGATCCGAATCTCGTCCACGAAGCCGAAAATTTCAAGGATAAAAGTTCTCAGCATTTAATTTTGATGTACGAAATTGGACATGTCCACTGGGCTGTTTGTCGACTAGGACACGCTGGCAATGGCATGGCACGGATTTTACTCACTGGCTACCAGTCACGTGGATTTTTTTTACCAATTCAATCTTTGTCTTTGCTCAACGAGATAAGGCATATCTCTTGGAATTATACCATGCGTCATAAGTTAGCATAACAAGCCCCACCAAAACACCCAACCAAAAAGAAGGCCCTTCCATATCTAATCAAATGATTATTTTAATGCGATCGATTATTTATGTTATAACACGTGAATTATAAATATTCTTGTTATAAAAATGGTATGCACTTGTTTATTTTCTTTAAATATGCATTAATAATTGGTGCAAAAAAATTAGTCTCATTTGAATATGTTCAATCGCTTATTTTTATTATACGTGTATTAGTAACATCATCTGACTGAATACCACATTGAAAATTTTCTTTACTTTTATATATTTGGCTTGGGTGCTCGGGTCTTCCACAAATCGTCGACTCGGCTTACTTCTTTTTTTCTTCTTCTGTAGGGAAAAATCTTGGTGGCTATGTCACCTTCCTGATCAATGATTGGAGACCACTTGAGTGTTGAGATGATAGGTCCTTGATATTGCATCACAAATTATGAATTAATGGCATTTTGCTATATTTATGCTCACCAAAATGGGAATCTGTTTTAAATTAAATTATATTTGATAGGATTTCACTAATAAGATCTTAAATTTTGTGGAATTGTCTCTAAGAAAGTGAAAAAGAGGTCAAAATTGACACATAAAATGGTGCTTTATACGAGCTTCGTAGGGTGTAGATCAAAAGAAAGGTGATTAATTTTTAAGAAAACATATTTGTTGATCCATAAATTATGAGATGTTGGTTATATATGAACCAACGATTAACTAGCAGTTTTTCAGTACCACCTTGTTGGTACAGAAGGTTTGAAGTCTTATCAACTCCCAAATTGAGACCTTCTTCAGATCTTATTCTAGAGTCTAAAGACTCAACAATTCGAACCAGTCAATTTAAATATGTAATTTCTATTAATCATTTTACTTGCTCACCTCACACATAATATCTATCTTTAACGCTCATACATTTTCCTTAAACGATCTGAATTGCTTAATCTATGTATCGCGGGTTGTGAGGCCGGAGAGGCTCTAAATCCTCAACTCCCACCTACTGGGCCCCACACTCGGACTCGGATCACTCACTCCGGCTACACTCCTCGAGCCAGATAATAAATAAATAAATAATAAATCAGGCATCTATCTCGCATACTGTGAACTGAGAAAATGAAAAGGGCATAATACTCATTGAAAACTAAAGGATATTCCAACATTAGCCCTCCGAATATTCCCTCCTTACCGTTATATCCCCTCACTTTACCCTCCACTACCACCCTCCCATTTTCCCCATTTTCCCGAGAAAATTCCAATCCTTTTCTCTCTAACCAAAGAGAAAAATATTTTCAGATGAAGTTCGGTAAGAGCCTGAGCAACCAGATCGACGAGACCCTGCCGGAATGGCGGGACAAGTTCTTGTCCTACAAGGAGCTCAAGAAGCGGTTGAAGCTCATCGAACCCAAAGCTGGCGACCGCCCCGCCAAGCGCCCCAGAATTGACGCCTCCGCCGCCGATTTTAACGACGGCGGCAATAAGGAGGGCATTTCCGCGGCGGAGATCAATTTCATTCAGTTGTTGGAGGACGAGCTCGAGAAATTTAACTCCTTCTTCGTCGAGAAGGAGGAAGAGTACATTATTAGATTGAAGGTATTGTCTTCTAATTTAAATTTTTTCTCCAGTTGTTTGGTTCCTGAGAAAATTTTCAGCTTTCTTTTCTCCGGAACCAAACAGAGTCTTAGGCTAATTAAGTAACATGATTCTATATTTATCGCTGATTTTCTAAATTTTGAAGTTTAATTTGCTGGATTTATCTCTAAATTTGGAGCTCACTAGTTTATTTTCTTCATTTCGACTTTAATTTTCCAAAACGACACCTTTTGCTCGTTGTGTGCATTGCGCACACGGAATCTTTATTCCTCGTTGTTTTCGAGTGGCCGTTAGTCGTTATACTTTATGGCGCCTTGCCGTTACAACTTGTGAACCGCAAATATAATCATGCGTGTGAGAGGCTGCCACCTGTCACCTTCAACGGGTTCACACCTCACTTTGTATGGCTGAGGTGCTAGGCTGCGGTGTCTCCGTTAAGAAACACCGTCTGGTGCCGGAAATGAAATTAGTGCTAACTTGCGTCATTTTTCTTGGTGGGCAACTTACCTATGACGGTGGTCATGGGATACAACTGTGACAGTATCCCGAGCAAACTAAGCATTTTCACGCATCTAAACGTTTTCACATGTCAAAGGATAATTGGTTTGGGATTCGCAATAATCGCATCTCGTGGTGAGATCAAATCATTCACCTCTTTGTGGCCTAGTCAAATTTTGACTACAATAAAGTTAAGAAAAGTTAAGTTTATAAATACGTGTCAGTCAATGCACCCATGTTAGGTGCAGAACATTTGATTTCTCGTGGCATGAAAGTCCTTGTGTCGCGGTTCGTTGTTAATTACTACAATGCATTGTTGAAACTGCAAAAATTCTTATTTTTCGATCAGGAGATGAATGTGTTGTGTATGAATGCAGGAGATACAAGACAGAGTAGCGAAAGCAAAGCCTTACAGCGACGAGATTATTAAGATCCGCAAGGAGATTGTGGACTTCCATGGAGAGATGGTTTTGTTGGAGAATTACAGCGCCCTCAACTATACAGGTATTGTATTGTTGAGCTTTTGATTTGCTTTAGATACCGCAATCTTAAACTGATTAAAAGTATATGCTGCTCGTTGTTGCGTATGCTTAATTTATTGACATGAGAACCCTTTAACAAGCTATTCAATATCGAGGAATTTACGACTATAAGCCATATCGAACTTTGAAATGTTTTGTCAAGATTAGTAAAACATCCATCGAAAGATTATCTATATGCTTAGTTAACATTGATTGTTAATTATTATATGAGAACCTCATTGTTTAGCATTAAATCTTTGAGTTCTCAATGACGTTTGTCAGAAAGTAAAGATTTTCGTTTGGGTACTAATGATGAGTGTTTAGGTATCTTAAATTTGACAAGTTACATGACGAACAGCTAATCTAGGAATGTATTTTAAAGTTCTCAAAGACTTCTTGTTGAATACGGATTTTCATCGAAAGAAAATATGATACGCAGATGAATACTAGTTATATGTAACTTTACGGGACTGCTGCCTTAATTCTTCATGCGTTTAATTTCCAAATGGAATTCTATATTTTCCCAAGCGAAGAGACTGCTGTAGGGTTTGATGCCTTGTTAGAATCGATGTAGATGCTCCTCTAAATTAATTTTGGAGGTTCTGACCTGCATTCGATAGAAATATTTCTTGGTTTAACGAGCTCAATCTTAATTAACAGGATTGGTAAAGATACTGAAGAAGTACGATAAACGAACAGGTGCTCTTATGCGCTTGCCCTTTATCCAGAAGGTCTTGCAACAGCCTTTCTTCACCACCGACTTGCTCTACAAGCTCGTGAAGGAGTGTGAGATAACGCTTGACCAGCTCTTTTCCATGAACGTTGATCCCGTATCAACTGAAGGATCTTATGGGGATGACGGGCGCAATCCTTCAACTTCTGCCCCTACCAAGAGTGATGGTATTAGCAGAGTATCCAGAGAACTTTCAGAGATAGAGTATATGGAGAGCTTGTACATGAAAAGTACAATATCGGCATTGCGCGCGTTAAAGGAAATTAGGAGCGGAAGCTCAACGGTTAGCGTCTTCTCGTTGCCGCCGCTGCAAACAAGCGGATTGGAAGACGCATGGAAAAAAGCCCCTGTTCTGGAACAAGTTGCCAAGTAGCTAGATTGATAGGTTATGGAAATTAAATTTGGGGGACTAGTATGTTGCCCTTTTTATTTTTGTTTCTGTTAATTAATTTTTAAAATTTCAAATGCATCTGCTATGCATGCTTTTTTATATACCAACACAGATGTAAAGTGCAAAATGTTAGCTGGACTGAGTTCAGACTGTTCAGTAGTATAATTAAGTTCTGTAAAATAAACTATTTGGCTTAATAGAAGTATAATGTTCCCCAACCCACAAAATCTTTAGATATTTGGTTTCAGTATCTATACGTGACATATCAATTTTGTCGTTCGTTTATATTGTACGTATGGATGACTAAACAGTGCGATTGTCAAACAAAAAATATTTCTCGTTCAAACCTCAAGATTCATTCGCTCGTGGTGTTTTCCTAGTATTTGCCTATTATCGACTTATTGTTTTTATTTCAGATCACGTAATGATTAGTTCATTATCGACTTTTTTTAGGAAACTGTTATTAGTATCGAAAAAGGTTATCGTGTATTCATTTTGTTTATATAAAAAAGGAAATGCATGATGTACTATTTAGAGTGTTAATAACAACTCTTTTAAACTCTTTTTAGTTTTTTTTTTTGGACAACTGGAATTGCATTACCTGGGCAAAGCCAAAGAGTATAAATGAAAGCCCACAGAGGGACTAACAAAGGAGAACCATACTGAGTTCTTACAAACAAAAGTAGTGTAAGGTTGATACGGGGAGAAGGATGTTGCACCTAGTGCAGAGCGTCTCACCACCTACACCACTTAAAACCTTGGCTCGAAAGAGGGCAAGGCAGACCATCCTTGTTTAGAACGTGCACCAATAAAGATGGGAGCCTATCGGCCCAAAACTGATCTCTCATCTCCGGAGGTTTGAAAGACACCAACTGATCTGCCACCATATTAGCATTATTCATCAAACTTTCTATCCAAAAAGAGTAAATGGGATCTCCAATTTGAGGATGAAAAGAGAAAAGGGACTCGAAGAAATAACTCCATCAAAAAGGGGAAAAACGCGTGGACGAATAAAGGTTGAGAATCAAAGCGCCTATCCCATTATATCCATTTCACATTTGAATACAACCTGCATGATGCATATGTATAGTGAAATCCACTCCAAATCTCACTATTTCACTACGAGGAGAATATTTATGTATGGCAGCCTGATCAATAGTTGGTTGAGCCCTCTTCACAACAGGTGAACCGTGTGAATCGAATGATGTACTTATGTGGAGTCGGATGGTATATAAATATTGTGAAGTTTGTTATTTTGTGAGTGTAACCATCCAGGTGGTCAGACTGTCATACCCAAGTTTCTCTCCTAATAAGTTCAGTGTGAGGTCGAGTAGGACCAAAATACAAGAAGTATCCTACTTCCCCCTAAAGTTTAAATATATATGGGGCCCCACACGTTCCACTAATAAAAGATGTTTCAAGCAAATCCAATGAAACAAGGCAAGCAAATCCATTTATAAACAAGAGTAGTGGTACATGTTTTGGTAGTGAAAGAGTGAACTAGCAATATAGATTTAAATTTCTAAAACCCAATTGGGTTTGCGTTTTCTTGTGCATAGCAGATATGAAGGTGGTGTCGGTTTTGCTTATCATTCTGGTAATGGTTTTGCCTGCAAAAGGTCAACTGAAAGCTGGATTCTACTCTTCCTCATGTCCAAAAGCAGAGGCCATGGTGAGATCCACAGTTGAATCATACTACAACAAGGATCCCACCTTTGCTGCAGGCTTGCTCAGGCTTCACTTCCACGACTGCTTTGTTGAGGTTTTTGCTCGCGTTTTTATTTTTATTTTTTATGTTAGCATATTGCTGTAGCCGACCGACCTAACCCATATATGCGTCTTCGTTAATTTTGGTAACATGAGTCATTTTGTGTTCATGATCTGCAGGGTTGTGACGGTTCAGTTTTGATCAAGGGCGCTTCATCGGAGAGGAATGCCTTGCCAAATCTAGGGTTGAAAGGATTCGAAGTGATTGATGATGCAAAAGCTCAAGTAGAGGCCTTGTGTCCTGGAGTTGTCTCGTGTGCTGATATTCTTGCATTGGCTGCTCGAGATTCTGTTGACTTAGTAATTGACTAGCCTCTCATCACGCATACTCAACATTTGCTTAACATTATATAAAGGCTTTTTCACCACCTGATGTTTAGCGGTTTCTAATTATTTTTTTCTTGGTCTATTCATTTCAGAGCGACGGTCCAAGTTGGTCAGTGCCTACCGGAAGAAGGGATGGCAGGGTCTCTTTGTCATCTCAAGCCTCAAACCTACCGTCTCCTCTTGATTCAGTTGCCGTGCAAAGGCAAAAATTTGCTGCTAAAGGCCTCGACGATCATGATCTCGTAACCCTAGTTGGTAATCAAACTCTGTCTGATACGTTTTGTTATTAATATGTTACTGATAATGAAATCACCATGTCAACAACAGTCATGTAACATAATAAAGAACGGACGTCATGTCCAGAAAAAAAAAAAAAAAAAAAAAAAAAAAAAAAAAGGAAAAACCTGACAGTTTCAAAGCTCGTATGTTAATGGGGAATTGCGTGCAGGGGGACATACCATTGGCGAAACGCACTGCCAGTTCATCCGATACCGGCTCTACAATTTCACGGCCACAGGAAACTCCGACCCGACCATAAACCAAGCATTCCTAGAACAACTCCAAGCTCTGTGCCCGATGAACGGCGACGGAACGAAGCCGGTGGCATTGGACAGAGGAAGCCAGACCAAGTTTGATGTGAGCTTCTTCAAGAATGTGAAGGATGGAAATGCAGTTTTGGAGTCGGATCAAAGGCTTTGGGGTGATGACGCAACGCGTAAGATAATGCAAAACTATGCTGGCAACATTAGGGGATTGCTAGGGTTTAGATTTGACTTTGAATTCCCAAAAGCTATGATTAAAATGGGTAGCATTGAGGTGAAAATTGGTACACAAGGTGAGATTAGGAAAGTGTGCTCAAAATTTAATTAATCCATCCAGAAAGGTGACACGTATAATAATGTAAAATAAAAATAAAATTTTTTGTGTGGGAAATATTCTGAGTGTGATGTTGACATTAATAAGCGTTGATATTACTTATTAACATATTTGTTATACTATGTATAGATTGATATTATGTAGTAGTGTGATAAATTTACTGAAATCAACTTTGATAACTCTTCTTTCTTAAAAAAGGTCTTTTGTCCGATATAGTTTAGGCAGTGGTTCAGACTTCAAAGCTGTGCGCTCATCTCTTTGCACTCGAGTTTGAATAGCTCTCGTAGTTATGATTAAAGTGGTTTAAAAATTAGTTTGTGAAAAGACAAAAGAAAAAGGAAAGTAATGGTTGGGCCTTTTTTTTCTTTTGCGCGCAATAACATTCATATAACTTTTAACTATTCTAGGGCCCATATACAACAGAGCCCAGAACTTCTGAAAGTAATAATAAATAAAAGTTAAAAAAGGAACGACGCCTGAGAGATTCGAACTCTCGCGGGGAAACCCCATGTACTTAGCAGGCACACGCCTTAACCACTCGGCCAAAGCGTCTTTGTTGTCTACTGGTCTTCCACTTGAATAAATAATACTTTTATGTTCTCTAAAAGAAGGACATTTCAATGAAGTAGGGCACATTTGGAAGTGCTGTTAAAATGATTGAAAGTGCTTTTGGTGTAATTTATTTTGGGTTCCAAAAGCACCTTAAGTACTTTGTGGAAGAAGCAACATATATTTGCTTCTTGTAGGGATCATTTAAAGTGATTTTCCAAGATTCACTTGGATTTTTACTAAAGAGTGGTTTTTTGGTTGAACCAAAAACGTTTTCAATCATTTCAAAAGTACTTCCAATTGAGTATAATTAGTTATTGTACTTACTAAGTATATGTATAACTTCAAGATGAAGTAAATCGTAATCAAGGAATTTTAAGTCCAGTTGAAATTTTCATATCCAACTTGCACTCGTAAGTTCCTTTCCTATTAAGAATGGGGATACTTGAAACTGAATAAATAAGAGAATGATTAAAATTGCTTCTTGAAGAGTTAAAAACACTTATTGACAACCAAAAGTGTTTTCGACTACGTTCGACACAAAATTTTTGAAATACTTTAGACTCTTTAGGGAATTTTCTAGAAACGTACATGTCAAAAACTATGTTTATAAACAAAAGTGTTTTCTTGTCAACAGGATGTTAAAACCCTCTCAAATAATTATCTGTTGCGTAACTTTATTTGGTACCCACCTAGAAAGCAAATTGTTGCTCGCTCAGATGAAGATGTGCAAAATCGCTTTACTGCTGGTTTGAGTCTCTACGCTGCCTTCTACGATTTTGATGGTGTTTTGTCTTCTTGCTTTGTTGGCACTAGAAGTTTTCTCTTGTTGGTCGTCGAATGGTGGATATGGTTGCTGGTTCTGGCTACTTATTTCTTTTGTTGAGTTTATCAGAACCAACTTTGTGTTTTCTTGTGCAGCTTTGTTGTTGTGAAATTTGGATTATATTTGTTCTTCTTTTGAGACTTTTTTCACATTTGTGGTTTTGTTTTATGACCCTTGTCTTTTGTTGGTGCTAACCGTATATCGGCTAATACAAATAGCAAATTGATGATATACATAGTAGTTGTGGCGATGATGACTTATGTCAACAGACAGAATCCAATTGAGCTATAAAGTGCTTTGCTTGTACTTCTTTGTCAACTCAGCCCACTACCCGCTTTTATTTAAATTTATCTCTTTTACATTTTCTTCTATCAATAAAGCTTATACTTGACAATTTTAAAAAAAAAAAAAAAAAAAAAAAACCTAAACCAACGCGGCGTGTCATGTCCTTTTTGTAGAAAAGAACATGGAAGTGAGTCAAAAGACCGTTCCCCAGTTGTCCACAGCACAGCAGTCCCTTAAGCCACATTCATCTCCCAGCCTAATTTGGTCATCTCCCAACTTCAGCCCGTTTGAGCTTCATCCACATCATCATTTTAATTTCCATGTCAGCGTATTACATAGTTTATAAATAAAATAAAGTTTTTGTATTCCTAAAATGGAATGAGAATCCTCTAATCATGTCAGTTCATCGTATATCTTGTAGTTATAAATCATTGTAATTTTTTTTTATTTAAAGTTGAATATAAATAGTACCTGACGAAAACTTGGGTGCATAATGTACGATAAATGGACATGATTGGAGGATCCCCGAAATCCTCACAAATAGGATCCGGAGAAGATCCTCATCTTCTAAAATGCCCCTTTCCTTGTTCTCTTAAATTTGAGATTTAATTTTTAAGTTCCTTACCAATAGATTTTATTAGATTAGTTACTAACGAAGTTTGAACTTACACCGTCATGGCTCAATATTTTTCCACCACTGTAGTAAAATGTCACTTGCAATAATTAATTTCAAATATCAATCTTTGGTATTATTATCTAAAATAAATGTAGTTGATAAAGCTACCAAAACAATCGAGTCATTTTGTTTATTCTCCTTTTTTTTCTTTCTAAAAGGGATCCCATTAATATAATAATTAATTGTGTGAATTTCTCCTAATGATTGATTTTTGAAGTTCATCCTTGATGGTTGGTAATAATAAGATATGAAAATTGTGTTTATTTGCATTGCTTAGGAAATATGATACGACGTACGTTTAATGGTATACCATCAAGGTTATATAAGTTTATTCGATCTAGAGAGATAACTATATAAGGGTACGTTTGCTTTTGTAGTAGAAACATTTATTAGGTACGTTTTAATTGATTGGTACGATATCTTTAATATTGGTACGTTTGATTGGTATATTATTTTATTATAAATTAAGTTTATATATTTTTATATTGTAGAATTTAAAAGGAACTTTAACGAAAAGTTTTCAATACTATTTCCTTTAACGAAAAATTATATTTTTACACTAAAAAGTTAATCATGGTACTATTCACTTTACCTTTTATTTTGTCCTTATCGTTAAAACTCAAAGTTTTCAAGCCATTTTCATTAGTTTTCCTGAATTTTTTAAGAGAGTGTATTCAATTGGGAATTTGAGAGATTTTAATGGATTTATAAATTTATGGATTTTTATAGAGTTTATAATTGATTTGTAGAGATTCCATGTAAAATTTTGATTTAATTTCCTCAAAATCTCATGGAAAGAGGAGAGATTTATGGATACTTAAAATACACTACAAATTCTCTCTAATTCCTCAACTTTTCCAAATTCTTTAAATTCAAATTCAAATTGAATACCCCTGAAATGTTATAAACTTCTTTAAAATTCTAATTGAATACATCCGGATTTCTAAGGATTTTAATAAACTATCTTGAATACACATTTAATTTTAGAGAATAACTTAAAATCCTGATTGAATACCCTAAATTTATTAAAAGAATTAAAATCATTCAAAATTTCAATTAAATACACCCCTAAATTGCTTAAAGTGGTATTTTTATTGCCATAATTGTATGGATTTTTTTGAACGTATAAAGTTACGTTTTTTGGCAATTCCTATATGATAGGAATTCTGTATACCATTAAATCCTGTATTACGGATGGAATGTGAACCAGAAGAACAATAACAGAGCAGTAAAATTACGATTCCCACCCAAAAAAAAAGGCAAGAAAACAGAGCCACCCTTTTCTCAAAAAGTTTGAATCTTGATAGAAACAAAGCGCAGGTAGACCCATACGCTCCCAACCCACCACCCCACGCTGCATCCAATTCAATATTCTCCATTTATTTGCTGTTTTTGTTTTCTTTAATCCGTCGCTTTGCCTTGAAGACTGAAGAGTCCGCAAACCGACTTGTATTTTTTTTTTGGGGGGGTTTTTTAATCTGAACTTTCCGTTCACGCATCTCTTTTGAACACTCAATCAACTCATTCACTCTTCCTCCAAGCTTTGGACTTTCAGCAATGGCTTCTTTAACCCCGATTTCGCAATCCCAATCACTTTTCAACAAAAACCCGTTCAAGTTGCCCCCAATTTTGGGCTCCGATTTCTTTCCGAAGAAGTTCTCTTTTTCGTTTCTGAGGATGAACTCCGGAGTGCCCACCAACGCGGCGGCGGTGGCCGGGGTGGTTTCGGCCACCACGGCGGAGAAGGCGAAGAAGAGGTACCCCGGGGAGGCGAAGGGGTTCGTGGAGGAGATGAGGTTCGTGGCGATGAAGTTGCACACCAGGGACCAAGCTAAGGAGGGGGAGAAGGAGGTGAAGGAGCCGCAGGAGGGGCCGGTGGCTAAGTGGGAACCAACCGTGGATGGGTATTTGAAGTTTTTGGTGGATAGCAAGTTGGTTTACGATACCCTTGAAGGGATTGTTGAAAAAGCCCCCTTTCCTTTTTGTGAGTAAATTGTTTTATCGTTTTGGATTAAAAGTTTGAATTTTTTGGATCTTTGAATGCAAATTTGTTGGCTGATATTATATTTGTTTGAATGTTTTCTGGCTGTTGTTTATTCTGTTGGAGTTATTGGCTTTGATATGGTTGTTAAGGTTTGGATTTTGATCATGTGTTTTGGATGTTGGATGATCTTGTTATACTTTAGCTGTGTAGAATGCGTATCGCTGTGTTTGACTATTTGATTTCGAGTTTTATAGTGCCGAGGAATTGCTAGACTGCTAGTGATCTGTGTTCATTAAGTATTACCGATCATGTATGTTTCTTTGAGTGTGTAGGGATACTGCACCAACAAAGAAGTACAATCTTATATGTGCATTTGTATGTCGCACAACTTTTATGTTAGGATACTGCATCAGTTACTGTCTTGCATAAAGCTTTTCTTTGACAGTCTGCCGGGCAGAATGTTGCCGGTGCAACTTCTATAACATTCTTTGTGTTCTGTTATATAGTTGGATGGTTAAGAAGTTCTGTCTTGACTCTTGACTTCATTCATTTGAAACGCCGGTTTCCTTCAGTTACTTTGGACTTAGGAGTTGTAGCTGTTGTCTAAACAATTGGTTCTGCCACTCTCATATTGAAGTCTGTACTTTGTCAGAGCAACATGTTTTATGAGCAAAAGAACAACAACCAAGCTCATTCGTTGGGTTGTCATGTTTTATAAAAGATGTTTTATGACCTAAATATGTTTTATGAGCAAAGTTTTTTCTTGTTCTGTTTTGATTGTCATGAAAGGATGGGAGCCTTTAGATATGAGCATGAAATGAGATTCCGAGCGTTCATGTTTATCTGAGTGTTTACAAAATTACTTGTACTTATTGGTATGTTATTGTATGACATGATTGAGCTAATTCGTAATGTTGCACTCGTTTTTTTTTTTTTTTTTTTTTTTTTTTTGGCATATAGACGCTGAGTTCAGAAATACTGGATTGGAAAGGTCTGAAAAGTTGGCGAAAGATTTGGAGTGGTTTAAGGAGCAAGGGTATGCCATACCAGAACCTTCTGCTCCGGGTGTAACCTACGCAGAGTATCTTAAGGAACTGTCGGAGAAGGATCCTCAAGCATTTATTTGCCACTTCTACAACATATACTTTGCTCATTCGGCTGGTGGTCGAATGATTGGGAAAAAGGTACATAAATAATGGCTGGAAAGTGTGCCCACTTATTTTAACTTGTTGACATGTCATAGTGTATGTCACATTGTTGTGAGCTGGTTGAGTGTATGAATAAGGATACCAGGATAATCTAATCTGTAATTCTGACATTGTTTCAGATAATTACTTATTTTTGAGGGTTGTTCATGTAAATTGAGTCTCCGGGATTAACAGCAATTGTGATTTACCTGCATTTTTCTTCTTTCTGAATAGTAAGCAGTCATAAGAATACTCGTATTATACAAATTGGAGAGAGAGGGAAAAAGGGTTCATAGCATGGTATCGAATTGAATGACTAACGTTTGATTTATGCGTGTAGGAAACGATTGATTTTCTCATTTCAACTTCTTAACACATGTTATGTTTATTTTTACCCAACTTCAGGTGGCGGAAATGATACTTGACAAAAAGGAATTGGAATTCTACAAATGGGACGGCGAGCTTCCTCAACTGTTGCAGAATGTACGGGAGAAGTTAAATAAAGTTGCAGAGGTAGATTTAATTTGTTTCTCTTCGTTTGCAAAATCTTCTTTCGTGCATATCTTGGCTTGATTTAACTTTTACATGCGTGCATCGACAGAGCTGGACGAGGGAGGAGAAGAACCACTGCTTGGAAGAAACCGAGAAATCGTTCAAACATTCGGGAGAGATTCTGCGTCTTATATTGTCATGATGCCACCTGATATGATTGTACTGCCACTGTTGTAATCTTGGAAACTTTGTCTGTGAAGACATGAGGTTACAATTACTGTGTTTAAAGCAAAAAACAATTGTGAAATTGTAAATGAGATATCGCCTATGCCTTTTTATTTAAGGAAAAATAATGAAAATGGTTTGAAAATTTTGAGTTTTAACGATAATGATAAAATAAAAGGTAAAGTGAATAGTATAAGGATTGACTTTTTAATGTAAAAATGTGGTTTTTCGTTAAAGCGAACAGTACCGGGAGTTTTTTTGTTAAAGTTTCCTTTTATTTATGGATTGATCTCCATCTGATCAATCTTCAGGAAATTTTTTTTTTTTGGATTCAACAAGTCAAAGCAAAATCATTGGACAAAAATAAAAAGGAGCGTGAGGAGAAAATGCGACGGAGCATGAAAATCGCTACTCATTTTTAGAGGCTAGTTCCCAATGGTGTTTTTTTAGATGCAATGAGATGCCAAGTTGACGATTCCAAATTAATCACAACATGGCATGTGAGCAAGTTTGGTGATTGTGAGTGTGCCACTACTCATTATCACTAGTACACGGGATTTGAGTAATGGAGACTTGCGGGTAAAGAGTATCGCGGTCTGTCTTAAATGCAGTAACCATATTACAGTATCTAATCAAAGGAATGAGTTCTTGACTTGTTTACCAAGTACAACATTTCACTACACTGAGCAACATATTTTGGTCTTTTCTGTTCTGGTCGAAATTTCTAAGAATCGTATATGTCCTTGCTGGTTGCAACGATCTAGGCGTCATGCGTGGTCATGAAGCCGCCCAAAAACCCGGCACCATTGCAATCTCCACACAAAATCTCCCTCTTCCCCCTGCAAGAAAACATTGTTACTAGTGTCGGATGGTATGGTAGCACATACGAAAAAGAAATAGCACAAGAATTCCGAAAGGTGAAAGACACAGTCGAGCTAAACAACGAAATGGGAGTGTTCCCACTAGGATGAACTATAAGCTGGTCAATTTGATGAGGGGAAGGCACAGCATGCAGCATTTGAAGTATGAAATCTGTTTATTAGGAAAGTTAACTTTTGTTCCTCCGTGAAAATTACGATGATATTAGATTTTGATTCGAGTCAACATGGTTACCTGCAAAGCCAACATACTCCACCAGCTTTAAACTGTCCGTTGAAGTGGTCTACAGAATTAACTCCCGTACCTTCACATTGACTACCCGCTTTCGCACCTGGTTGATGGATCAAAAATAAAAAACCAGTGAGCTGAAATTCTCAGATACTAATACTATCAAGCAATGGACGATTAAGCCCTATAACTCCTCCAAGATAGAGACAAGAAGCTATATATCATGCCAGAGAGTCGGGAAACGATGAGGAAATAGTTGCCTGATGCTTTCAGATATTTCATCATGAAGCTTTCAAGTCGATATTCAGCATAAGATACATTCAAAGACGAGTTGTTCGCTTACCATTTCCCTCACATGCAGAACATACTATGCTATTTACTTTGGTCGTTGGAGTACCATCTGTGGCCTGCAAGACAACACCAAAGTGAAGTCTGAGGAAAAGAAGAGCCTTGGATAATGCTATTAACCGATTCGCGTATAAAGTCCTCTGCTCATATGCTTACACGATTCACAAGCAACAATTCTTTCTGCAACTTTCAAAAACAATCGTTACATCCTACCATTCCCCGCCATCCAACGATCCCAACATTCTAGCAAGCTCATAAGTTATAACCAACTTCCAAACCTCTACTCTTAAATAAAGACATTTACTTAGAAACTGGGGAATCTTTTGGTCATTAAACATATGTTTCACACTGCTAATTTCACAATTCATTACACCCGTTTCAGTTCTAAACATTTCTTCACAAAACAATTACATAAAATGGTCCAAGCCAAAAAAGGTGCTTTAGCAAAGGAAATCAATGGAAAGCAAGATTTTCAAATGTTGGAAAAATGGGTTGGTCAGAAATGCCTCACCTTGACCTCCCAAGACTGAAAGTTTGCAGCTTTCGAGTTCCGAAACACTTCATTCACCCGAATAACCTTCCTGCGAGTCGAATTTTCGATATAAACCCCTGTAGAAAAATCGAAGTGTTCACTGAATTAACAAAAAGAAAAAGAAAACAATCAACTAAAATTGCAGAGAGGATAGAGAGAGTACTTGGTTTGTTTATGGAATTGAAGGAACAAAGAGGCGTGAAAGAAAGAAAGGTTGCCATTCGAAGAGGATTTTTCAAAATTCTCTCTTTTTTGGAGTAAGAAAGTTACGGCCTTTATTCAGAACCTGTGGAGAGTGAAGAGTTGACTCTAATGAAACAGAGGATAAGGTACTTCTTTATATGAACATTAAACAGACGTTTTAATTACCTCAATGCCCTTTGGTAAAATGAAATCGTTACAGCTCAAACAAAACGCTGCGTTTCAATTGGGTTTCAGCAGCATTTGTCTTCTTTCAGCGGGCAAGCATGGCTCCTCCAACAATCCTGATGCCAAGAAACTCGACGGTGACATGACCCCATGACAGTGGGGGCGGGGCGCCGGGGGGCGGGGGGGGGGGGGGGGGGGAGGCGCGCGTGGGTGGTGGTGGGGTAAGCGGAAAGTCAAGTTCATCGTTCATCGGCAACGAAACAAGGGAAAAGGCAATGCGAGTGTTCAATCAAAACATCAACGTTCTAGTTGATGATAAGCGAATCGTGATGGCTCACTTCTACATTACTTGTCCACATACCCTGGCCAAACCTCGTGTTTTCATCCAAAATGTTTAGAGTTGGTTTACTATTGCAGACTGGTATAGATTTCGTTACCACTCCTAGATTGTGAGAGGTCTTTTATTAGTCTTATGCAGTACATGTTTCTACACTCGTAGAAAAATATCTTAAAACTTACTTTTCAAAACAACTTTAGAGCTTGTAGCGCCCATAATTAAGTAAAATTTTCTCGTTGTATGTGAGGGAGTGGAATTGTACCACGTCTACAACAGATATTGGCAAGCAACTATATTCGTGTCAGACAATTACTTCAAAGTCACAGCCATCCCAATAGCACAAACACACAGTTCTACTAGGAGTGTAGTTAGCATAGTCAAATGAATGTTCATGAACCGAACCACACATCGAATCCACAATATGAATATCGCCTAACCACGGCCCTCCCACGAAAACAAATACATCCACTAGGATAGGACTAGAGTCGCCTTTCGGGGAAGCAAGCCCAAAATTTAAAAGGGCTCCTGAAATTTTGTCATGTAATATTTATATGTAATAATGTCATATGAAAAAAAAAAAAAAAAACTTTTATTAGAATTTTAAAATCTCATTGTGAAATCATTATGTAACACCTCACATCGTTTAGGAGAGTGGATCTTGTAAGCCTTATATGTATATTCTCATCTCTACTTAGCACGAGGTGTTTTGGGAGCTCACTAGCTTAGGAGTTCATCAGAATTCTGAAGTTAAGCGAGTTCGCGTGAGAGTAATCCCAGGATGGGTAACCCATTGGGAAGTTCTCGTGTGAGTTCTCTTAAACAAAACCGTGAGGGCGTAGTGGAGACCCAAAGCGGACAATATCGTGCTACGGTGGAGTTGAGCCCGGGATGTGACAATTATAAGGGTAAAAAAATTTCTTTCTAACTATAAAAATTTAGAGTGCACAATGAGATATTGGAGTGCCATAACAACATCTTAATTTTTTTTTTTTTTTAAACTTTATGATATAATAATGCTATATGTTCAAGTGAAACTTTAAAGCCAAGAGTTTTTTAAGCTTATTTTCTTGTTTTGTGGTTCAAGATTGAATTGCTTTTGATTATTTACTGAAGGTTATGATGGTAACTCTCTTTACTTATTATTTAATGATATTTGTACACTTATAATCATTGAGTCTTGAAGTTTGTTTTGATTTAAGTTATTACTTTTTAGCATCAATATATTGTCCTACTCTTTTTTTTTCTTTCTAGAAAACTATCTTAAGAAGGGGCCTTGTTATAAATTTCGCACAAGTCACTAAAAACTCAAAGACGGCTTTGGATAAGACACATAATGCCATTTTTTTTTAAGGAAAACTAACGAAAAGTTAAAAAAAAAAAAAAACTTTAGTTTTAATGAAAGAGGACAAATAAAGATATAGTGAGTAATACCAAGAAAAGATAAAAGAATGTAGTTTTTCGATAAAGGATCAGGAGTGTTTTGTTAAAACTATTTTTTTTTTCTTTTCATTATTGTTATTTTCTTATCATGCACTTGAAAAGCAATGAAGGTGTTGTCAAACGAAACCAAAAAATGACCACGTGCAGGGCATATTGGATGGCGTGGTATAGTGATTATTGTTTTTGGAAAGTACGTGGAAAGGATGCCATGAAATCCACATTCCACTGTGGTCGTCCACTGCCTTGATGGTGGCCAAACAAGAAAGTGAAGTTGTACGATATTGGGTTGTGTATTGAAGAAAACATATCACGTCGATACTGATTTCGTCAATGAAGCTGGAAGTATATCATAAGGTGCCTTGATACGCGTAGGGCTGGTCTGAGTATAATTGCAGAGACTCACCGGTTTATACATACTTGCCAAAATTTTTTGCGAATACTCTATGTCGCCTGCTTGCTTCGACGTCTCGTTTGATGAATGGCCTTTGCTCCTAACCTTGAGGCGAGTCCAACATTCTTTTATGAGGCACATTTTGTTATTATTATATGTGCGTGTGCAAATAATTTATCTATACTTTACGTAAATTATAATTGAATTAATTTTGAATCAAACATTTTTTTTGTTTCGTAAGTAAATTATATTTCGTGTATTATTATATTATTAGGAACTTTTGTTCATATAAATATATACACACACACATAAATAAAGTATTTACCTTTATGTTTTGGGTGAATTTACCTATATTTATAGGGTAGTGCTACATACACCGAATTCTTGCATTAAATTTGTGCACCCAATGATGTAGCACATTTTACATGATATAAATTTTTATTACAATTATTAATCAAGTTTTAACTTGTATTAAAGTAGGTGGAAAGGATGCCATGAAATCTACCTTCCATTGTAGTCATCTGTTGCCTTGACGGTGGCCAACGAGAAAAAAATAATTGACATCCTCAAAGACATGCCGACGCCAAAATGCTTACAGCACCACTCATGGTGTCCACCACCAGTCCCTTGAGGGGGTGGTTGGACAATGCTCCGTAGGTGTACAACGCCACTCAGGAGTATGTATACTTGTATAAGAACTTGTTTTCGTGCATGCATTGATGAATCAAGTACTGCCACGCGTCTGATACAACCATGGCGAAGAGAAATTGCACCGTTGTGCGCAACGGTGCCAAGAAGGTTTTTTGGTGGTCCACAGTAGCTGTATGGCCGAGAGTGGTCGGGCCTATCAACAAGAACAGCAGCCCCGCTATCGTAGCTTGCCCGAACTGCTGAAGCAAGACTTCGACAATCACAGTTGGTTTGGAGACAAGGTTTTTGTCCTCTAACTCTTTCACTACTGGAATTTTGAAGTCTGGAAATCTGGATTCCACAATTTGAAGAACTGCAGCATAAACCCAGTATAACAGTATGGGACAGATATCCCCAATACCTCATGTGAAAATTTAAATAATGAAATGACATTTGAAAAATGAAACTAAAATGTGAGAAAGATGGACACAAAAAATGTGAGAATAATCATTTCTTCAGACCGAAGGCTGAACATTATACGTAGTAATTTACGATAAAATGAGATAGTTTACACTACAAATAATTTCCAAAGCTCGATTCAAACTATAATTAAGGATATAGGAAATTAGAGTGTAATCTTTGGAGAAAATGAACTTTTGATTAATATCTGGTATAAGATTAAGAATTGAATTTAGTCATTTAACGTTATTATATGTCAGCATGCATATTTCACGTCATTTATCCATTTTCCATTGATTTATAGTTTTCTTTCTTCTAATTTTATGTTGGATAACAATATTTGTTTTCATGAGAGATGTTGTAGAATTTATTACTCATTTGAAATTCAAAGATTTACACTTAAGTTCTAACATTTCGTATTGATCTATAACTATATAAGGTGATGACCCTCACTTTGCGGACATCTCCAACTTCCTCACCTTGTATAAGATGATGGTCTTCTCTCTCTCAACTACATCGACAACCTTCTATTTCGGGTCTATACATATGAACCACAGTGATATGTAAGTTCTAATGAGAGCTGAACACTTGATTATCTTTAGTTTGGAGACGTGAGGATATAAGAGATTGGAATTAACTAAGGTTGTAAGCTGATAAGGATTTTGTATAATAAGGGTCTCAGCAAAACAGTCACGATAGTGTTGAAACACTTATAATGGATGTGAATAATAGGTTTTGTCGGTGATAAGGTTAGATTGATTAGGATTGCATAATGGGAAGAGTCCTTATCAATCATCATCGTATACAGTATAAAAACAAGGGTCCATGCACTCACTCAATCACGCAAACAAAAGAATACTCAGATCCCATTCATTGAGCGATTGCATCCAGTTGAGGAGAGTTGCAAAAGATCCCTAGTTTCCAAGAGATGTCTTCTTCAGGTTAGTGGTTACTTTTGGTACTGTGATTATTCTATTCTGCTGACTTTATTTATATTAATCTTACATTTGGTATCAGAGCTTTCACATACCAATTAACCCTAAGAAGAAAGCATCAAGAATTATTTTGTGTTGCAGATTAAAGAACTGATATATATATTGTACAGAGAAGGATGTTTGTGAACATATGACAGCTAAAGCTGTTTGTGTTGACGAAGGTGTTATCAATACCAATATATATACATCAATAATGGCACTAGGATTCAAAACATTGACACTGATCATCTAAAGAAGTTCAGTTGCTTATGTCTTGGATTCGAAGTGGCATACCACTTCATATATCAACGTGTGAATCTAGTCAGTTTACAAATCATAAAGGTTTTTATTCATGACTACAGAAAACTCATACGTTGGATATGAAGGTGGTATGATTAAGAGAATTACTCGCATACTTCTCAATATAAAATTGTTGAGTTTGTGAAATAAAGATGGGGATTAAAGATTAATACTTTCATTCTATATGAATACAGCCATTAAATCTTTATGTACTATCAATTTGCTAGGCATTATGTGTATATTTTATTAGGCATTATGGTTTTGACAACATTTAGCAAATTGATAGTACATAAAGATTTTGTATAATAAGGGTCTCAGCAAAAACAGTCACGATAGTGTTGAAACACTTATAATGGATGTGAATAATAGATTTTGTCGGTGATAAGGTTCGATTGATTAGGATTGCATAATGGGAAGAGTCCTTATCAATCATCATCGTATACGGTATAAAAACAAGGGTCCCTGCGCTCACTCAATCACGCAAACAAAAGAATACTCAGATCCCATTCATTGAGCGATTGCATCCAGTTGAGGAAAGCTGCAGAAGATCCCTAGTTTCCAAGAGATGTCTTCTTCAGGTTAGTGGTTACTTTTGGTACTGTGATTATTCTATTCCACTGACTTTATTTATATTAATCTTACATGATCTACATTATATTTTGAGAATTGTACAATTACTTACATTTTGGTACATATACTTTGTACATATATTTTGGTACACATGCTTCAGTACATAACTACATATATTTCAGTACACATGATTCGGTACTATATTTTGGTACATATATTTGTGTACAGATATTCGGTACATATATTTCAATACACATGCTTCAGTACATATATTTTGATACACATACTTCAGTGCATATATTTTGGTACATATATTTCGGTACATATATATACTTCGATACATATATTTTGGTACATACATTTACTTTGGTACATATATTTCAGTACACATACTTCGGTACATACATTCTGGCTGGTACACATATTTCGATAAAAATATTTCAACACACATGCTCTGTAGGCGAACTAATATTTTGGTACATATTTTTGTACATATACTTTGGTACATATTTCAGTACACATACTTTAATACATATTTCAGTACGCATACTTTGATATATATACTTCGGTGTAAATACTTCGATATACATGCTTCGATTCATATATTTTGAAAAATGTTAATTGGCAAATTAATATGAGTGTAAATTTGTATTGTAGGTTCCGGTCTTGGAACTCTCGAGGAGTATTGCCGGAAGCACATTGGTATTGGGTTGGAGTGGCAGCTTTGATTGGATTTACTGTTCTATTCAACTTCCTTTTCACGTTCGTACTGGAGTATCTTGATCGTAAGAACCAACAAACTTAGACATTTTTCGTTCTGTCTTCAAACAGTAATTAAATCTTTATGTACTATCAATTTGCTAAATGTACAGCACTTGAAGAGCCCTGTGCAGCATCAGAAGTGTCGAATGAGGCTTTGACTGCAGTATGAGGGAAGTGACATGGAAGCCAATAGTACCAAGCGCCAGCGCGGGATGGTTCTGCCTTTTCAATCTCTTTCGGTTACTTTTAATGAAATACGATGTGCGATTGACATGCCGCATGAAAAGAAAGATCAAGGCATAAGTAATGAGGGCTTCCGGAAAGAAATTCACAAGGGTGTGAACGGAAATTTTAGGCGGAGTCATAACAGCCCTAATGGGTGTTCTGGTGCCGGAAAAGTGACTCTATTGGATGTTTTGGCAAGAAGGAAAACAGGGTGGACATGTCGAGGGTTATGGTTGTTGAGAATGAGTCCCATATTGATGGGAGGAAGGACCTTACATGAGCTTATAAGAGGTTGTGCTACTTCTCATATTGTCAATTGGTTTTATGGTGGAACCTCAACTTTCTTTGTTATAACAGAGCATGTTGTCCTACGTGTGAAGCCAAATGACCACACAGGTCACGTTACCCCATTGTGTTGTCCATGACATCCATGGCTCCGATTACCCGCTGAGGTTGACTCCCGTTAAGAACTTTTGAATATATTTGATTTTCCGTTGCAGATGCTGCTATTGAAAGAGGAAGACGAAGACCCCTTTAGGCCACCATTCTTCCAAGTTGATAGAATACTTAGAGGTTAGGATTATACATAAATGAAATATACTGTACATGCCACATTTTCTGCTCAACTGCTACTAACAAGATGATTTATTACTTAACTAATTAGGGGATGAATGCTGATCTATTAGTAAAGATCAGATAACAAAAAAAGTCATTTTACAATTAAAAGCCTTCAAAGGCACACTGCAGCATGCCGACCAACACAAAAATCCGGTTGATCTCAACGAGCAGCTTCTTCTGAACCAATCTCCTTTCAATGCATTTCAATGTATTCACGGAATGTTTCCCAAAATAGCTTGCCCTCAACTTGTGCATTAGCCAAGCACGTTACAGACTGCATGTTCTCACCGTGTTATATTGATATCTGTTAGATCATTATGTAATTTATCTGACAGAATCATGTATGACTAGCCCGTCTTCAGAAAATTATATGCAAACCAACCATGGTATGGTAGCTTCGTTCTGTTTCTTGTGGCAAAGTCTAAGGTACGAAAAACATGTTAACCCAATTTGGTGCAGTGTGCATCTGTACCATGCTGGGTGCAGTGATTGTAACCCACACTCTTCAGGAATTCTTGTATCTCTCTTGCACTGCTATCACTGGCTCGTAGCAGCCGTTCATCTTCCTCATAGATGATATAGGGTGCTTCTCCTGCCTTTCTGGACAGTAACTTGGAAGCTCCTTTCAGCACATGATATTCCCAACCTTGCACATCAATTTTGAGCAGAAGAACAGGCTCTGATTCCTGGATCACGTCATCAAGAGGGATGGTCCTTACTTGAACTGCCACTTCTTTGTTATTCTTGAAGGCCAGCCTTGCGCCGGTGGCTGAAATAGCACTGTTGTCCATCCGACCAACCAACTGGTAACACAAGCAGAATTCACATGAGAAATGCAGCAGACAGGAGATTATCACAGCATTACATAATTTTGGAGAGCTTATTGATAATTATCTAATACAAACCAAACAACAATGCCAAAAATAGAGTTTTCAATTGTGCTAATCGAATGCCGTTTGGTAAGAGCAGCCTCTCGATCTTAAGTATTTAATCCTCTACTATCCCCTGGCGCATTCTCGTCATTATTCATCTGTGCTTCTATATTCTTAGTGAAACAATGGCCAAAAAAGGGAATACTTCATCACAAATCACTCAAAAACTCAGCTTAGGTCACATGGATTCATTAGCATCACCAATTCAACCCATCATGTAACTATAGCACATTATTAGACCTTCGAATCCAAATTAGTCCGACTATGAAACAGATGTCCTGCACGAAGAATTTTCGCACCCAAATCGCCATCCTATGTACTCTCAAATTGCAAATTTTTATTTTTACTCATCTTCAATCATTTGTTCAATTCACAAACAAACCCAATTCATAGCTAACAAAAGCAGACAACTTTAAATCAAAAACCCAAAATTAAAATTGCAAAAAGGGGGTACCTTGTGGAAGGTGATATTGCCAGGGCTATCGGAGGCGGCGGCCTCGAACACCGTCACCAAATCCCCCACACGATTCAAGTAAATCCCATCACAAATCCGCTGCAAATTCTCGAAAACCGGCTCGAAAGCAAGCACCTGAAAACCCATGACGGCGGCGGCGAAGCTGGCGATGCCGACATTGGCACCGACGTCCACCACCAGCCCGTTGTCCCTCCCTTCTCCTTTGAATTTCTCCAGAACCCCCTGAATCGTCGCCGAGATATCGGGCTTCCGGAACGGCTTCCTCTTGAGGAATCTGACGATGTTCTTGTGGGGCTTCCCCGGCAAGCTGCCCAAATCGGCGAGTGAGTAGATGAAGGGGTAGCGGAGGCCTTCGACGACGTTGGCGATGACGGGGTGCGACTGCGGGCACTCCTCGCAATTGAATGAGGAGATTCCGTAGATCGGAAGATTGGTTCGGATGGTGGGGTCGATGGCGGTGGGAGTGGAGAGGGTGGCTGAAGGGCGGGCGGCGAGGAAGAAGAAGACGAAGATGAGGACGATAGTTGCAGAGAAGAGGAATAAAAGGGGTCTCATGGGTTTGTCTCTTTTCCAAGCATTAGCCATTCGAAATCTGAAAATTGGTGGGAAAAAGTTTGGGTTTTATTTTGCCGGGAGAATTGTGACTTTCTCGGAAAATGCGTGATTTTCCGGGAAAGTTTTGGGATTGGATCTGTTTGCAGTGGCTTTGCTGCTGTAGAAGTTTTTCTGGGGAATGAGCGTACGAGCTTCAACTCTCAACAGTCTACAGAGAGTGAAACTCAAGTGAGTTTTCTCTTATGGATTCTGGTTTTGGACCGTTGGATCAGATGTATGGCTAATTTGAATCTTTCTGGGATTTTCTTGGTAAAGTTGCAAACTTTCTGGGGTTTTCTCGGGAAAATGTTGAATCTTGGTTGATTGGGGATGAATGAGGGAGAACCCAAGATTTGTAATTGAAAGGACAGATTGAAATCTGGATGTGAGTGAAGGATGGAAGCTATTACTTTTGTATTAGTTTTGATAACTGTTTCTGAAAACAATTTTTGGAAACTGAACCAAAATGTTCTAAACTTGTTTGGAAATCAAGCTTGTTCTGTAAAGTTGTTTCTCCAAAAACCCTATTTTTGGGTAGAAAATGGTCCTTTTGACAACTCAGCCAAATATGTTGTAAGCTTTAGTGATAGTGGAATCCTTTTGGTTGGTTCTTTGCTTAAACCCTTTTGTAACTTGTTGGCCAAACAATGATTTTTCAGATAGAAAACAGTTTTGGCAACTCACTCAAGGAACCGGATCCCCTCCAGATCCAATAAAATTGAGCCTGCTGAGCAGGCGATCCGGGCTGTTGAAATTCAATCCGACGACTATAAACAGAGGGCTCTCTAAAAGTTATAATAATTGTAACCGTTGGATGAAATTTCAACGACCCGGATCGCCTGCTCAGCAGGCTTAGTATATATGGATCCGGAGGGGATCCGATTCCACTCAGGATGTGCTAAACTTGTTTTTGTTATGTTTTTGTTACTGTTTTTTTATTTTTTATTTTGTTATTTTATTTTTTGGATTTGGATGGGTCACACTGATTGAGAATATTATTGAGCCAACCTGAATAATTAAACTTAAATGTTAGTCATAATCTAATTTTCTTCTTTTCTATCTTGATACAAAAAAATGTATGGTCATTTGACAATACGATTAACTAGTATTCTTCTTCGTGAGAAATCTCAATTTTAACTCATATTGCTAACGAGTTTGGTACATAGTTATTATGACTAGCTGGTTGGGTTAGTTTAATCTAAATTAATCTGCTTAAAATATAATACCATTGTATTAAAAGAAATAAGAAAGCCCTAAACTATTCCAAAGGGGAAATATATTGACATGGTCTAGAAAGAGAAACCAAGAACATAAGGGTCCAAGAGGAGAGATTTTCTCCTGCACCCTAATATGCAATCCTAATAGCGTCGTCGCATCGACGAATGCTTACCATGTGTAAGATAATTACATAATAAAAAGCATTAATATCTTATGCAGCCAATTAGGACCTGCCACGACAAGTAATATAAGATTTTTCATTGTTAATTCTGTACAAATTGGGTAAATATGAAAGTATATACTTTTATCTATAATGACTTGAAAATCTCATGAACGACAATTATTGCATAAAATAAAATAGAAGTTCTTAAATCCAATAAATTGGATTTCAACTCACCGTAATATGGTAAAAAACCAATCTTATATATTGATCACATTGATTTTGAATATGGTCTTAAGTATTACCCATTTTGTGGTCAAGTAAAATAATTTATAACCGCTCTTGTTGTTGGCTTAGCTCAAGATCATGCATTTTCCTTTCTTTTGGTTGAATTTGATGGGCAAATTCACAGTTGTATCATACTTGTTAATCGAAAAGAGGAACGCTCGAAAGAACTAAGAAGATGGTAATCTTCTTGAAGAAGCAAAGATCTTGTAATTATTGAAGAAGATGTCCATGCATGCTTATAGATGAGAAATGCTAAGAGGATCTTTTTAAAAGTATGACTTTTCGTGGATTTTTTACCACCTCACAATTTAACGTCAATTTTCATACTAATATTATAAAATATTGTGTAAAAAATATAAGGTAGCAAAGAGTTCATGCAGAGTCTCACTTTTAATAGAATCTCCTTAGTATTTCGCAAATAGATTGTACTCATGAGGGATTGTGTGGATTGAAAGGGTTGCACTTTGGCTAGACTTGGGCAACAAGATACTCTTCATGATTTCACTCCCAATATATCGATTATTTGGTTGACGTTTGTAATTAAATGGTATGGAATGGAAGCCACTTTATAGAGAAGAAGAAAATAACCAAAACTACTTTTTTCTCTAAACAATCGAACAAAGTTTCTAGCTAACCATTTAATCTCGACATGCAGTTTCAACTGGTTGCATTCGAAGGTTGGTAATTGGAACTAAAGAATCTTCTTTCATTTTTGATAAGAGAAAAGATCGGCAACCATTCAACGAGAATTACTGTTGATTGGTTTAGCAGACACGTAAAATAAAAATAAAAACGAAAAGAAAAGTAGATAAAAAAAGAACATTTAAATCACATATTGTGCGTTTCAGATGTGTAGTTTGGCTTGGATAAACGTCTTTCACGACCATAACATAAATGCTTGTGTGGTAACTAAGACAGTATTATATGGGATGTTATATATTCTAGCAGTTTTGGATTTTGAATATAGAAACATAAGTTTCTTGTATAAAACTACTTAGTTAATAAACATCTCCCAAAAGCAGAAAATTAGAAGCTAACTTTTGCTAATTAACCTTATTAGGTTAATAATCTCCTTAAAATGGATACCCATTTTTTTCTTCCAAATGTAAGGATTCATGACAAAGAATGCAAGGTTTGAAAAAAAATAAAATCCCTAACTAGTTTCTCATACAATTCCAATTTCCAAATGTCAAGCACTATAGCTATTGGGAAAATCAAGAGGTATGGAATTACTCTGGTACTAATAAGTTACTTAACGTTTTTATGTTCCTTCTGCATCCAAGTTCGAATCCTCTTTCCCATACTTTAGATAAATTTATTGTAAATGTAATATCATTTGTCAAAATCTCTAATTATTAGAATTTGGGTATTGTTTTTTGTTTCATTATGTTTTGAATTTGCAGATACCATAAAGTTTGCTGCATCCTTTTGGTGGTAGCTTAATTCCAGGAATGCCATGGTGAGAAAAGCTAGCTAAATCTTTTTCTTAACTTCTAAATTAAACATTTATTTATGAAAAGTTACTTAATGTAAAATGTTTTAATTTAATTATTTCTTGGCATTTCAGATCTCAAGTCTTCTTGTTTTATGTTTTATTTTTTTTATTTTCTAGAAAATGTGAACTTTTATTAAACTGACGATCTCGGCTCTAAATTAGTTTTCATGTCCTAGATTTGTTTTTACATTGGTCAAATCCAATTGTTAATAAAAAACCTTAATCATGACTTATTTTTTAAAGTTATAGGTAAAACAAATCAAGAATTATAAATAGGTTTACATAAATAAAACCAAATCAATACTAAATTGGCCTTCTATTTCACGATTATTTCTTCTAATTCGACGAACCTCTAAATCTCATCCGTGCTTAATTATCAATAAAACCGCTCATCATTTCGCCTCATAAAACAATAGTTTTCACATATACATTAAACTAAAACAATAACAGTTATATATTATATATTTTCTTTCTCAAACACGTATTATATTTTTATATTAATTGTCCCCCATATTTCTATATCGGTTTTAAAAAGCTTTTGTCCTTCCAAAATTTCTGAACCAATGCAGGGGGGCTATTTTTATCTGCTTCTTCTTCTTCTTCTTCTTCTTCTGGGGTCGTTAGTTTCCGCCGCCATTGCTTGTTCAACCGAACCTGCAAATCTAACGACTTTTGATGTCAGAGACTTCGGAGCTATCAGTGCCGGAGGCAACATTGATAATTCCGAAGTAAGTACACTATGTTTTTTTGGGATGCATCTAATTAATTAAGCTGTTTATATTTCGTAACATAAGATTTAATCCACTGATTAATGTCATTAGTTTGTATTATTACAAGCATTCTTGCTGGCTTGGAATGCAACATGCAACTCAGAATCTGAAATTTCTACCTTGATCGTTCCACGACGGAAATTTCTGGTTAATCCGGTCGTCTTCGGCGGTCCATGCAAGCCAAAAATCATAAATTTTTTGGTAAGATTTTTCGGATACAGTTTTCAATAGCTTGTCGGAAAATAATTTTTGCACTCCCAATTTTTCATTCTCCACTCTCCTTTCATTTTTGTCTTCTAAAACAATACGAAAATCATTTCTGTAATTTTGAGAGAATGTTCGTATTTTTCCATGAATCTTATTTGATTTTTTTTATACAAATAATTAAGAAATATATAATTTATTGGTTATTTTTCTGTAGATATTAGGGAGACTTTTGGCACCAAACTCACCCGAAGCATGGAAGGAGCTTGACCAAAGTCAATGGCTAGCTTTCAAACGAGTCAGCGGGCTCAAGGTGGTTGGCCCTGGCAGAATCAATGGAAGAGGCAAAGGCTGGTGGGATCAGTCCTGCAGAGACCACCCTGGCCTGGTACATTTTCAAATGAGGCAGCCCGTGTCACGTCACCCATTCACGAAGACACAGACAAACGAATCCCCGCCATCGGCGGACCTGAATAGAGAGATTCCCTCAGTGTATCGGGCGAACGTGTGACGTAATATGGACGGCCGTACCCAATAATTTTTTAGAAGAACGAAATTATCGATATGTTGTCTGATATAAATTTTCTTTTCAGAAGGGATGCACTGTATTGGCCCCAACTGTAAGTACCATCACTAAACCTCTCTCCCTACACAAATATATTTATTCATGAAGGCAATAATTGTCATTATATATGGAGATTACATACGGTTTAAGTACAGGCAGTGAAGTTTGTGTCGTGTAACAACAGCAGCATTAGTGAGGTTCATTTCGTAAATAGCTCTCAAGTCCATGTCTTAATAGAAGGGTGTGAAGGAATTCACATAGAGAATGTGCTGATCGAAGCTCCGGAAAGAAGCCCCAACACTGACGGAATTCACATTTCTGCCTCTCACTACGTGTTTGTCACTAATGCAATTATAGCAACGGGTAAAAGTTTTCTCAAATTTTTCAATTTTTCTTTTTTACTTTCTTGACGGAAAAATTACATGTTAGTTGACATTGATACGAAATTAATGATGTCATTAACAGGCGATGATTGTGTTTCCATTGGAGACCATACATCGAATATAGTTGTCTCATACGTTAAATGCGGCCCCGGCCACGGAATCAGGTCAGCTTTACTCCAAACTCGTTATTTCAAGAGTAATGATTTTCGCGTATTTGTTTTCTCTTCACACCCTCCTGTTGTTTTTGAAAGCAGCATTGGCAGCTTAGGGAGGAGTGGGAATTTTGTTCAGGTGGAGAACATTCATGTAACTCAGGTCTACCTCCAAGGAACCACCAACGGAGCTCGAATCAAGACATGGCAGGTACCAAATGAAAACCTGAAATTTCGAAAACAAATTCGAGAGACATTCTCATTCAATCTTCAGTGTTTTGAGTAACATTTTGTTCCTACATTGGTCCTATCAAGGCCGGCAAAGGTTACGTCCGACGGGTCACGTTCGAGCACATGTTTTTCCGTTCCGTTAAGAACCCCATAATTATCGATCAAAACTACTGCAGCAAAAGGGGCGCCTGCAAGGAACTGGTAAAAGCAATCACACTCCCCTCCATGAATGCAAACTTGAATTTTTCGCATCATTTCGATTTATACTTCTTTCGGTTGTAGGATACTGGCGTTCATATAAGTGATGTCTCCTTCAACAACCTGTATGGTACATCAAGTTCCCAAGTGGCTATCAATCTCAACTGCAGTCGCTCTGTCGCTTGCACCGGAGTATTTTTGAAATCTATATACCTTAGACCGGCTATACAAGGACAGAACTTGACTTCGAACTGCACCAATGCCCATGGCATTGCCTTCGGAGTGATTCAACCAGAACCCTGTCTCCAAATTTGATCTTGTTGTTTACCTGATACAGCTCGTATCAGAATTCGATCACTTAACCAATTATCTCATCTAAACTTTATCAACAGTTCATTTTTGCAAAACTACAGCATTTATAAAGAAATTGGAGTTTTTGACGGACAAAATGTTGTAATACTTTGCAGTTTACACAATCCTAATATACAACACCAAAACATTAGAATACAAAATCGGATACGTTAATGCAAAACTCATCGAGTCAGACTATAATAGGCGGTTCTGGTGTTCTCATGAGCCTAACCGTCGAATCGTCATTTCCTTGAGTGAAGTCGCTAATCTCCGAAACACCTTAAGACTCTGGTCTACTTTATCAGGCCTGAGAAGAGAACAAAGGAGCATAAAAAGAAGATTTTACATTAGCAACTGAGAATGATCAGGCTAGCAAGTGCAGTATAAAGCAAGGCAAGTAAGGCGTACCTCGCTTGGTAACTCAAGTCGTTCTAAAGTGGGAATTAGATTTCCACACACTGACGATATGTCTTGTGCCCGTTCAGCCTTGGCACCGTACGTAATTGTCTTTAACGATCCATTGGCATCGGATAACAATGAGCTATGAAGAAAAGAAAGTCAATACCAACATCTTGGATAAATGAGACCAAATAGCCATGATCCACTGGTAATATACGGGGTTATGTAACTGATACAATCATTGCTAAATTGGAGTCATTGATTCATCTTGAATGCTTCCTAGGACGTGTTAATTCTTTCAACGTATTTCAGGACTTGATGTCCAAAGCAAACCAGGAGAGTTGAGTGTTTCAACCGAGACCCAAATCCAACTTGATTAAAAAGGTCCACAACAACCAGTATGTATTCATAAATGTATGAAGATTAAATTTGTTTAAATTATTTTCATGGATGATAGGTAGATTAAGTTTTATTTGTTTTCGTATATTCTACCTCCATCACAAGTTGAATGTACATAATCAACGCATGACATGAAAATCATATATGATAACATATAAATTTTCTTTTAACTATTTTTCAGAAAAATGGTTAGATCTTCATATTTAAATATTCAAATTACAAATGTGAATAAAGATGCATAAATCAAAAAGTTTAATTACAGTGAAAAAAAAAAAGGACGGTGGACTAAATCCAATGCCAACTCAATTTTTTAGATCTAAATCATAGTACCCCAATTTCAAACCATCCACAAGGCATTGTACCAAAAAGAATTGAACTTTTTAATTAAAGTATAAAAATAAGTGAGTTTTAACGAAAAGCCCGCATTATTGTTCACTTTAATGAAAAATCACAATTTTACACTAAACAGTCAAACCTGGTACTATTCACTTTACCCTTTATTTTGTCCTTATTATTAAAACTCAAAGGTTTCAAGCCATTTTCATTAATTTTTCTTAAAAATAAGACAGTGGACTAACTCTAATAATAACTCAAAAATTTAGATATAGATAATAGTACCCAAATTTTAAACCATCCACCAAGAATTGTAATAAAAAAAAAAAATTTTGAACTTCCTCACATGGTTTTTTATTGAGAAACTTCCTCACAGTCACATGTGAGAGCAACTCCAGCCCTCCATGTATTAGCTGGGCAACAACCCCATTTTCCCCCTCCCCCAAAAAACTCACTCCACCCATCGAATCAGTTGGGCTCCAGGGGAGGCCAACCACATGCCTAGTAGAAAATTAGCTGGCCCAATACTCGGCCAACTTGACGCAGGCTGATGTCAGCTATGTGAAATCATAATTTTTTTACGCCAAGCGCGTGGCCGCGCATTCCTGACATCGTGCTGCAGGCACACTAATAGAAGCGGGACATGGGGGTACGTGGTGCAGCGATGGTCGTTAAATTTATAACGGCTAGTTTTCTCCAACGGTAAAAAAAAATTTTGAAATTTAGACCCAATGGCTAGTGACATGGAAAAATCACCGTTCGGTTTCATATCAGCGGTCTAGGTTTTTCTGCCCAAAAAAAAAGAAGAGAAAATGTCAGAAATCTTATCGTTAGCCATATGTCCAGTTTTGGGCTGTCGAATTTCAATCTTTTCGAAATCCAACGGTCCAGATTAATTAACTCTTTTCGAATTTCAATCTTTTCGAAATCTTTTGGATCTCTCTCTAATCTCCTTCATCTCTCTTGGACTCTCTCACATCTCTCGTCCCTCTTCTTCATCTGCGAGTGCAAAGATCGAGAGCACCACCATTACCATCGTATGTCGACGAATTCAGCAAGTTCCACCACCTCTGATTAGGTGAGCCTCAGAGTCATTCTTTCTCTATCTTAAATTGATGTTTGAGTTCTATTGTTAAGTGGTATACTCGTTGTTGTGAAGGATTAACACGAAATCAGCTTGGGGGTAACAAATCCAGTTTCCGGCGAGGGATGCCATGACTTGCAGGCCGTTTTCCGCCAACTTAAGCCACGGCCAGGAACACTAGTGGTATATTTTTATTCCTCTCTTTCATAGCTTCAAATCCATGTATGGCATGCTAGTTACAATTGTGAAATGGAGTTAATCGAACTCCGTTTAGGTTCCTGGCCATTTTTGTAGAAACCGGCTGACCCAAGGCTTGAACTGGGTCGACCCGATCCACAAACCAAAATTGGATCCAAAACCCAATAATCGGGCCCAATCCAATAACCTGGTCCAACCCAGTAACCAAAACCCAGATCCGACCTAACCCAGACTTAATTCCCAGATTTTTATGGTCAGCGCATGAAAGGCTGTCATGGCTGGTGCGTGGAGCACACGCGCCTCTGCGGGTGAATTTTTCAGCAACTTTTCCGGCGACCCATTTCTGTGCATGGCGGCGCGTGGGGGAAATCGAGGTCCCTCCTTAGGTTTTTCGATGTCATGAATCTGATTATGACATTTGTTTTTTCAAATTCAATCATTTTAGTAGAGTTTTATCAATTGGTCCCTTTATGTGCTTATGTGCGTTTGTTAGTGGCGACCCCGTCTTCTCTAGTTTGCATGACTCTTCAACGACAGAGTATCGGTGAGTGGATCCCTTCCAAAATGCATGATTTAATTACTAGAAATACATACATGAAAAGCATGATTTTATGACTACATTTTAAGAAATGTTTATGAGTTATCAGATTTACGCTTTATGAAATATCATGCTTTATCGGATTTACGTTCTTTGAAATATTTATGATTATATACTTATGAACATGGTTTATGATGAGGATTTGAGCTAGAACTCTCCTATGAATTTATGATATGATGTTTGAGCTATTGAGCTTCGATGAGATATATTTTGGAAAGATTATGTCCATGATTTTCTGTGCTTACTTGGTGGTTATTCATACTATGTGCCTACGGGCGAATGATACTTATATATGACCTTCGGGCGGAAGATATTTATATATGGCATTCAGGCGGGCGATGAAGGGCCTTCGAGAGAATGATATTTATATGCCTTCCGGTAGGTGCTGTAGGGCCTTTCGGGCGAATGATGCTTATATATGCCTTCGGGCAGGTGATGTAGGGCCTTTGGGCGATTGTGATTCCACTACTAAGCACACTTTATACAATTTATGTTTTATGAAAGTTTTATGGCATGTTAGGGTTTTCGGAAAACTTATTACTTATTATGCTATATGAGTTTTCTAAACCTGGGGGTTAGTATATTGAAGAATAATTGGTTTAGTATTACTTATATATAAACTTAGTCCACTCATGTTTTGTTTTGCGCCCTCTTCAAGACTTATAATCGAGGCGTACAATCTCTGTGTCAAGGCACTTCCACATTGGTATATTTGAGTCCTCTTGGTGTAGGACCCATTCCTTTGTTCGTACCTTTTTATAACATTCATTCTATAGTATTCTTGGTTAGTTGTATGCTCTGAACACGTTCCTACATTTGCATATTCTTTATTAGTAAAATTTATGTGTTTTATTTACGTTATTTTTTTCTTCATAATTTACATGCATGTTAATATGGCTTCCTCACCTTCGGATGTCGGCCAACACGTGCCTACCCTGGTGTTTGAAGGATATCGGGGTCAGGCGTGTCATTTTCAATACTTTCAACCAAAGTTTTCATATACTTTTGTTTGCAAAAAAATGGCCTATTGGTCGAAATTGGTTAAAATTCCTATCGAAATCTATTCTAAAGGATTCTAAACAGATAGTGACACGTAGCGTGACGGGATTGGTTCAAAATCTTATCCAAAATCTATTTATAAAATTCTTACAGAATCATGACATGTGGTGCTACAGAATTGGTTAAAATGCTACTTAAAAATCTATTAACAAAAATTGTACTTTCAGATAATGACACGTGGCGTGACAAGATTTGTTAAAAATCTTATCGCAAATTAAAAATAAAATTATTTTATAAAAAAAAGTAATAATATTTTAATACGAATTAATTAGTTTATTCAATTTAATGATGAAAATGTACTTGAACAGTTACTATTCGTTGCAATCAATTACTATTCATCTGAGTGAATTGAATTGACTCTTTTTTAAAGATGAAATTGCTCTTAGATGCATGGTTGGTTTCAGGACAGCCAGCTCGACCAAAAAAATCTTCATTGAGGCCTTTTTTTTTTCATTTTTTTAAACAATATTCATCATTAAAATATAAAACCACAAAAATAAACGTGCATTAAACACGAATTTTAAAATTACTGCAAAAACCAACGTAAAAGACCCCCAAAAAGGGGTACAACGCCATAATCTAAGATGAAAGCATCTTCTTGGATCGAGTTTTAATTGGTTGCTTTGATTTTTTATCCAAAATAATATTTGAGATTTGCATAACTTTTTATTTTAGTTTATGAGATTTGAAATCAATAAGAATGGTTTGTCCGTCATCAACCATTTTAGTTCATCTTTGAAAAACCTTCATTAAATAAAGATAAAAAGATAAAAACACCCTCAATTTTTGTTAAATTATTTTGGCTATTTGTTTATTAAATTGAGGGTATTTTTGTCATTATTTAACAAAATTATTTAAGAATGACCAAAATAATTAATGATGAACAAACTCAGG